CTCTTGAAGAAGAAGCCAGAGCTGGTTCTCCAGCCTGCAGCTACACGGAGACTGCAAGGCTCCAACTGCAGCACTCCCTGCTGCACGGGTGGGTGGGGATTGGAGCTGAGCTCCCGCTGTGCGTGCCACTCAAAATCAGCTCATGTGCCACTTATGGCACATGTGCCATAGGTTGCCGACCCCTGATCTAGACCATTCTTGACAGGTGTTTATCTAACTTGCTCTTAAAAATCTCCAATTATAAAGATTTCACAACCTCCCAAGGCAATTCATTCCAGTGCTTAACCACACTGACAGGTAGGAAGTTTTGTCCGATGTCCAACCTAAAGCTCCCTTGCTGCAATTTAAGCCCATTGCTTCCTGTTCTAACATCAGATGTTAAGGAGATTAATTTCTCTCTCCTCCTTGTAAGAACCTTTTAGATACTTGGAAACTTATCATGTCCTCTCCCATTCTTTTTTCCAAACTAAAAAAAACCAATTTTTGGTCTTGATTCATAGGTCATATTTTGTAGACTTTTAATTATGTTTGCTGCTCCTTTCTGGACTTTCTCCAATTTGTCCATAACTTTCTTGAAATGTGATGCCCAGAACTAGACACAATACTGCAGTTGAGACTCAATCAATGCAGAGTATTACAGAAGAATTACTTCTTACATCTTGTTTACCAGACTCCTGCAAATACATCCCAAAACCACATGCACTTTTTTGCAGTGGTGTTACACTGCTAACTCATATTTAGCTAGTGACTATTACATCCCTTTTTGCAGTACTCCTTGCTAGGCAGTCATTTCCCATTTTGTATGTGTGAAACTGATTGTTCCCTCCTACGTGGAACATTTGTCCTTATTGAATTTCATCCTATTTACCTCAGACCATTTCTCTAGTTTGTCCAGATCATTTTGAATTTAAATCCTATCCTCCGAAGCACTTGCAACCCTTCCCAGCTTGGTATCATTCACAAACTTTATAAGTGTACTCTCTATACAATTATCTAAATCACTGATAAAAAATATTGAACAAAACCAGAGCCAGAACAGATTTCTATAGGAAACCACTCATTATGCCCTTGCAACATAATTATGAATAATTGATAACAATTCTCTGGGATGGTTATGCAATCAGTTTTGGTTCCATATCCCTACTTTGTTTATTGTAAGGTAATGCAAGACTATATTAAAATTGTTGTTAAATCTAGATATACACACCTATTGATTCCCCCTTATCCACAAGGTTTTTTACCCTGTTAAAAAAAAGCTGTTAAAAAAAGGTGTTTTTTTTATGTGCTGACTGTTAATTATCACCTTATTATCTTCTAGATGTTTGCAAATGGATTTCTTATTTCTCCTTTATCTTTCCTGATACAGAAGTTAAGCTGACTGGTCTGTTGAATATGATTATAATATGAATGTTAACTATGTATCCATTTTACACACTAGGCAAAATGCTCTCAGTCTAGATGGCTGACTGGGAAGGACTCATTCAGGTTAATAAGCTATTAGGAAGAAACACCTGCCATATACAAAAGCTGTACAAGGCAGGGAGCAGGGAGTAACATAAACTGGATTCTTCAATCACACCCCAAGCAAGGAGGATCTTGTAAACACCTGAGAGACTGAATTGGGAGGGAATGCTGAATCCAGGTGTCATAAATAAGAGCTGCTTAGGAGAGTCTTACTTATCTAGAGAATGAGGAAAGGGTTAAGCAAGTCTGGAGATACACCTGAGGGAGGGGGCTTCGGGCATTCAGCCAATGAAATGCAGATAGGAATTTTAAACCAAGAGAGGGTTGTTGTTTTTTCCTCTCTCTTCCTTTGTTTTTGAGATCACAGCAGTTTCCCCCCGGTAATAGGGGAGACAGGCACAAGGAGTTCTGTGGCACCTTATAGACTGACAGATTTATTAGAACATAAACTTTCATGAGCAAAGACCCACTTCATCAGATGCATGTAGTGGAAATTCCAGAGACAGGTATAAATATACAGGCATAAGAAAAGAGTACCAATCAAGAGTAAGGCTAGAGATACCGAGGTCAATTCAGTCAGGGAGGATGAGGCCCACTTCCAGCAGCTGATGTGGAGGTGTGAACACCAAGAGAGGAGAAACTGCTTTCATAGTTGGCTAGCCATTCACAGTCTTTGTTTAATCCTAAAATCATGGTGTCAAATTTGCAGATGAACTGTAGCTCAGCAGTTTCTCTTTGAAGTCTGTTCTTGAAGTTTTTTTGTTCCAGGATGGCTACCTTTAAATCTGCTATTGTGTGTCCAGGGAGACTGAAGTGTTATCCTACAGGTTTTTGTATATGACCATTCCTGATATCTGATTTGTGTCCGTTTATTCTTTTATGTAGCGACTGTCCAGTTTGGCCGATGTATATAGCAGAAGGGCATTGCTGGCACATGATGGCGTATATTACATTGATAGATGTGCAGGTGAATGAACCCGTCCACTGTGATGGTGTTGCTGGTGTAGATATGTGGGCAGAGTTAGCACCGAGGTTTGTTGCATGGATTGGTTCCTGAGTTAGAGTTAGTAGTGCAGTGTATATTTGCTGGTGAGAATATGCTTCAGGTTGGCGGGTTGTCTGTGGGCGAGGACTGGCCTGCCTTCCAAGGCCTGTGAAAGTGAGGGATCATTGTCCAGTATGGATTGTAGATCACTGATGATGCATTGGAGAGGTTTTAGCTGAAGACTGTAGGTGATGGCCAGTGGTGTTCTGTGGTTTCTTTGTTGGGCTTGTCTTGTAGTAGGAAGCTTCTGGGTACACGTCTGGCTCTGTTAATCTGTTTCCTCACTTCCTCGGGCTCACTTTATGAGCTTATGCTTTGTAGTTCCTTGTGCAATTCAAGACAGTATAATTTGGGGTTTATACTCCAGATGGGGTATGTGATTATGTCCTGAGAAGTGCCCTTGCTGGACCCTTCCCACACAGGGGCTGGTTAAAGAGCCTGCTTGCATGTAACTGCAGCTGGGGGTGTCCTTACCTATATGTTTGCTGGTGTAAGTGCAGCCTGGAAAGGGTTTGACAGTTTGTCACAGCTGTACAGTGTAAAAGGGAGCTCAGGATGGTGGGTCGGGGGGCTTGTTGGTACCCCAGTTCCAGGTGTCACCCTAGGGCAGTGGTCATCAACCAGTAGATCAGTTGGCTATCAAGCACAGCACTTCAGCTGCCTCTTGCCCCACTGCTGCGCATCTCCTGCTCTTTGCCTTGGAGCTGCCTGCCCCTCACGAGCCTCCTGCTTGCTGTGCAGGGCAGAGAAGGAAGATGAGGGGGCACTGATGTCAGGATGTCCCCTCCTTCCTTGTATTCTATTTCCACAGAACAGATAGGTGGGGCATAAGGCTTGGGATGGAGTAAGTTTGCTGGCTGCTTTTGAGAGTGGTGCAGAGCCAGGGCAGGGGTGAGCCTGCCTTAGCCTCACTGCACCACCACCCAGGAACCACCTGAGGTAGGCAGTGTCCAGCTGGAGCCAGAATCCCAAACCCCTGCCCCAGTCATGAACTCTCTCCTGCAACCCAATCCCCTGCCCTACCTGGTCTTGGGCTAAGGAATTTGGAGTGCGGGAAGGGCTCTGAGCTGAGCCTGTGGCAGGGATTTGAGGTGTAGGAGGGGGTTCAGGGTAAGGCTCTATAAGGGTATGTCTACACTACCCCCCTAGTTCGAACTAGGGGGGGTAATGTAGTCATACCGAGTTGCAAATGAAGCCCGGGATTTGAATTTCCCGGGCTTCATTTGCATAAAGCCGTCCGGCACCATTTTTAAATGCCGGCTAGTTCGGACCACGTGCCGCGTGGCTACACGTGGCACGGACTAACTAGTTCGGATTAGGAAGCCTAATCCGAACTAGCTAGTTCATGCCGCGTGTAGCCGCGCGGCACGGGGTCCGAACTAGCCGGCATTTAAAAATGGTGCCGGACGGCTTTATGCAAATGAAGCCCGGGAAATTCAAATCCCGGGCTTCATTTGCAACTCGGTATGACTACATTACCCCCCCTAGTTCGAACTAGGGGGGTAGTGTAGACATACCCTTATAGAGCCTTACCCTGAACCCCCTCCTACACCTCAAATCCCTGCCACAGGCTCAGCTCAGAGCCCTTCCCGCACTCCAAATTCCTTAGCCCAAGACCAGAGCCCACACCCTCTGCCCCTGCCTGGTGAAAGGGAGGGAGGATGGGGGAGGAAGGGAAGACAGAGTGACTAGGGTAGGGCCTCATAGAAGGGGCATGAAGGAGGTGGGACAAGGGTATTTGGGTCTGAGGTAGATCCTGGATGGCACTTAAATTCAAAAAGTGATCTCATGCTTAAAAAAGTTAAAGACCACTGCCCTAGGGGGAGCTCATTACTGTGTTGAGCCTACATTTCTTCAGCATAAACGTAAACCCAGATTAAAGTGGACTGAGTGACCCTCGCAGGGTTTAACACTGCATTAACTAAATGAGTTTACAAATCACACATTTCATTTAACCCGGGACACCTGAGCAGCCAGTGATCTAGCCATTAGTGGAGGCTAGCTCCCCTTCAGTCTGAGGCCCCACCCCTCTCCTTCTTTTCCCCATTTTCCCTCTTCCCTCTAATTCTACTCCCCTTCCCACAAGAGTCCAGCACCCCCACCTCAGTCCCTGACCCCAGCACTGGGTGATGAAGCCCTAGTCCTGGTATCAGGGTAGTGCAGCTGCAGAGCCCCTAGTCCCAGTGTGCCAGGCAGCATGACCCAAGCACCAGGCAGGCACTGCAGTACCAGCAGCAGCCCACCTCAGTTCCTGCCAGGAGGCAGTCAACTCAGCCTCAGCCAGCCTAGGCCAGGGCAGAGTGATGGAAGGAAACTGCAGGTGGGGGACTACCGGTAGACCGGGAGCATAGCATGGATGAGCTCACACCAGGCTGCTTGAAGCACAGCCTCTCCCACCTAAGATACCTTCAGTCCATGCCTTTACATATATGCAAGGCCTGTGTACCCCTTATAATCAAGCACTTCCAGTACAACTCTACACTGCACCTACCTACATGTGGATTCTTTATCAAGGCTGGCTCATTCTGCTTATTGCTGGATTCCGTTGGGAGGTTGGAGCTGCTCTCTTGCTTAGCTGTGCCTTTCTTCTCAATTTGCTGGCCTAAGGTTGGGAGAACACAAAAAAAGGGGAAAAAACTTTAGTCGTTTTATTTATCAGAAGCTACCTGATGCCTAAAGACAAACCCCAAAATCTGTAAAAATTCCAAAAGTGCTATGCACCCTGAAATCCAAAGTCAAAAGTCAGGACAGGACATAGCACAGTATTGATGAAGCAAATGAATGATCTCTTGAAGTCAATGGAGGGCAGACCTTCAGCCTCATATTCCTGGGCCTCTCTTCAGCAATCAACATTGTCAGTCAAGAGATTCTGCTATTCTGCCTGAGGGAGATGGTAGGAATCCAGGGAAATATGATAAAAAAAGATTGAATTCTCCTTTGGTAGGAGTTAAACAAAGGCCAGTAGTGAGAAACTGCATTTCCACTGTCACTTGTGAAGTCCCAAAATTATCAATTCTCTTTTAGGTCCTACTGAACATCTGCAGGCAAGTACTGGGGGAATGCACTAGTAAAATGACATTGATGGAAGTGTTCAAAATATGTAGGTAACAGACACTTCCACCAAACTTCAACACATACAACAATATCACTGTCTCTAAGCTGGCCCACTGCTTGGACAAGAGCAGCTGGCAGAAGCTGAACCCAAGAAAGACAGATATTATGCTGACTGGCAGAGAAAAGCTCTTTGAAGAGTGTGCAGTAACCAATGTTTGGTGATACACAACCATAACTGACCATCCATTTCAGCCTGCAGTTTAGGTCTAGTCTACACAGCAGTTACAGTAATAACTTGCTTAACACGTGCCCGCTTAACATGTTTTCGCAATAGCATGATTTTCTGGGGGGGAACGTTTTTTGAACAACACAACTGTCCCTGAAATAACACGGTTTCCCCAGCCAGTCAGTCGCCAGCAGCTGCTCAGGGCCTCCCCCGCCTCCCTTGAAAGCGGCAGAGGGTTCACTGCTTGCAATGCCATTCCCCAGAGACCCCCTCTCGCTGGACGCCTTGCTCCCTCTCCTCCGACCTAGCTTGCAGGCCGGCGGCTGCACGGGGCTTCTCCAGCCTCCCTTCAAAGCGGCGAAGGGTTCAGTGCTCGCCGCGCCATTCCCCGGAGACCCCCTCTCGCCGGACGCCTTGCTCCCTCTCCTCTGACCCAGCTTGCAGGCCAGCGGCTGGGTTTCCCCATTTCCCAGCAATTGAAACGCAACCCCCATCTTTTCCATTATTTTCAATGGGAAAATTGACACAGCATAACATGTTTTCACCTAACACAATCATTTTCAAAATGTATCTACCATGTTAAATGAGGAATTACTGTATTTCAGAATAACCTGTGAGGATTTGTACTGGCACCCATACTGTTCAACAGATTCAACAGTGATCTAGAAGGAGGAGTAAACAGTGAGGTTTCTAAGACTGAAGATGATACAAAATTACTGAAGATAATTAAGTTCTAGGCAGACAGCGAAGAGCTACAAAAGGATCCCAGAAAAATGGGCAAATAAAATTCAGTGTTGATAAATGCAAAATACTACACACTGGAAAACAATCTCACTGATGCATACAAAATGATGAGGTCAAAATTAGCTGTTACTACCCACGAGAAATCTAGGAATCATTTTGGATAGTTGTCTGAAAACATACATTAAACATGCAGCGACAGTCAAAAAAAAGAAAAGAATGTTACGAACCACTAGGAAAAGAACAGCCCGGGTGGCACTTCAAAGAGGCAGCTGCACTGAGCCTGTGGTCAGCTGAGGACTCCAACTGATCTCAGGCTTCTGTAGCACTGCCCCTTTGAAACACCTCTGCAGCATTTCAAAGGGGCAGCACACAATCGCATGATTAATCATAATTATTTTTTTAATTGCTTGACAGCCCTAATAAAAAGACAGAAAAAATAATGTCATTATATAAATCAATGATATACCTACACCTTGAATAATGCATGCAGTTCCAGTTACCCCGTCTCAGAAAACATACGTAATAATTGCAAAATGTACAGAGAAAAGCAACAAAAATGATGAGGGGTATGGAACGCCTTCTATACCAGAAAAGATTAAAAAGACTGAAACTGTTCAGCTTACAAAGGAGACAACTATGAGGGGATATTATAAGGCAGGGCTACTCAACACATAGCTCATGGGCTGCATGCAGCCCACAGCCCATTTGTTTGTGGCCCACGGTGTGGTTTGGGTTTACGTGGGGCTCAACATGTGGCCTGCGAGTAGGATCCTTTGAATATGATCTCCACTGGGAACACACTCCACAACAGAGAGGCGTCTCCCAGGCGGGGTGAGCACTGAAAGACACAAGTGGATAGGCTGGCTGGAACAGGCAAGTACAGGGTATTGGCATTTCTAACCCATAGGGAGGAGGTGCCGGGAGTGCTGGGGCTTTGTAGGAAGTGCTTTGTATTCATGCCCCTCAGTGTGAAAGAAGCTATTTGCATATATATTGCATGTATATGCAACCACACTTAAGTTGTGGCCCTCGGCACGTGCTGTGAGTATCATTGTGGCTCCTGGGACTTCCACAATCGAGTAGCCCTGTTACAGAGGTCTACAAAATCATGCAACCACACTTAAGTTGTGGCCCTCGGCACGTGCTGTGAGTATCATTGTGGCTCCTGGGGCTTCCACAATTGAGTAGTCCTGTTACAGAGGTCTACAAAATCATGAATAATGTGGAGAAAGTGAATAACAAAGTGTGATTTACCCCTTCACACAATGCACAAACCAGGGGTCACTCAATAAAATTAACAGGCAGCAGATTTAAAGCAAACATAAGGAAGCACTGCTTCACACAGCACACGGTCAACTTGTGGCACTTGTTGCCAGGGGATATTATGAAGGCCAAAAGTAAAACAGGGTACAAAGAAGAATGAAATAAACTCATTGAAGACAGATCCATCAATCGATATTAGTCAAGGTTAGGGACACAAACTCGTGTTCAGGGTAACCCTAAACCTCTGATTGCCAGCAGCTGGGACTGGATGACAGAGGATAGATCACTTGATAATTGCCGTTCTGTTTGTTCCTTCTGAGACATCTGGCACCAGCCACTGTTAGAAAACAGGAAACTGGGTTACACACACCATTGATCTAGCTCTCTATGGTCATTCTTACTTTCTTCATGCCATTTTGAGAAAAAATGACAAAAAGAAAAACAAAGAATGGCAGTGTTCGTTATACAAGACCACATTACAGTAAAAGCTACATTATCTGGCCCTGTACAACTGGAAAGCTCTATCAATCAGCACTCCTGATCTCCATAGAAACTCCAGTTTATAGTCTGGTTGGTATAGGTGGGCAGTCTCTACCTGGCTCTGTGTGGCTCCCTGGAAGCAGCAACATGTCCCTGCTACTCTTAGGCAGAGGAACAGTCACAGGGGCTCTATGTGCTGCCCCAACCCCACCCCACATGATGGCTCCACCGCTCCCTATGGCCAGGAACTGCTGCCCACTGATACTGCATGGGCAGTGTGTGCAGGCAGAGTCAACACTCAGGCCAGGAGGACGGGTGCAGGAGCAGGGATGGGGTCTCTGGGTGGCAGGGAGGGTGCAGAGTTTGGGCACGAGCGGTATGGGGGGGTACACTTATCTGGCTCTGCGACTCCTGCCACTCCCATACAGCACCCCCCACTGCTCTCATTAGCTGTGCTTATGGCCAATGGGAGCAGCGGGGAAAGCCTCCAGGTGGTTTCCTGCACTGCTATTCCCCCACTTAGAGAGAAGAGGAACAGAAGCATACAAGGCCACTTTTCTCCCCCACAAGCTGGATGTAGCCCACACGGCTCAACCCCCCTCCGTCCCAGAGGGAAGCTGTCCCTGATGTTCCAACCTTATAGGGGGGACTGGGCTGGAGTGACAGCACAGGTTCCACAATGAAGTGTAGGGGTGAGCCCCGAGCCTGCAGTCCACCTGTAAGATGATCATGGACCATCAGTGGTCCACAGACCACACTTTGAGACCCATTGATCTACGACATCTGTGACAAATGTTTGTCTTGCTGCTTTTAGATATCTCCAGTGGGTGGCCATTCCATAATCTCCTAGGGATGTTAGATAGCTTGTAACTGAATAGTTGTGTAACCACATGAAACTGTAACAGTTACAGGACTATTTGATAGTCCCCAGAGGCAGGGCCAGCTACCAGTGCATTCCCAGCCACACTCCTGGGGGCCCACTGCTACATTGCACTGCTGCCTATCAGAGGCAGAAGTGCAGGGGGGCAGGTGGGAGCCACTCTGGGAGAGCAGCCAGTTTAAAAACCAGTTTGACATCCAGGCCCAGGCTCACCATGGACAGTGGCTGCTTTGCACACAGTGTGTGTGTGAGGGGACAGGGAGAACCACAGAGCTGGTGCTGGGGGGGAGGAGGCAGCGGCGGGAGGGCAGGCAGGTCCGTGGAGCCAGCACACATGGGGAACCTGCTTGAAAGGCGGCTCCTCACACATATCGACTCCTGCCTGTCCCCCTCACCCTCCTTAGAGAGGCAGCAGCAGAGAGGTGAGGGCGGGGGCAGGCGGCTCTGGTGATCACTGGCACTGACTCTCAGTCCCATCCCCCCTTTCTGCCTCTGATACAGAGGCAGCAAGGGGGGGAGTGTGTGTAGTCAACAAGATTAACTGATAAGCCCAAGCTTACTGGTTAATTGTGTAGTCATCTATACATTGACATCCCTTCTACCTCCCTAAGCATATTACTAACAATTAGGATTTTTTTTCTAATGTCCAACCTAAACTTCCTGTGCTGCAAATTAAGCCCATTGCTACTCACCCTATCCTCAGAGGTTAGGGAGAATATTTTTTCTCCCTTCTCCTTAAACAGCTTTTAGATAGATATGCTGGAGGACAGCGATAGGGTCCATAGTGACCTGGACAAATTGGAGGGTTATGCCAGAAGAAATCTGATGCACTTCAACAAGGACAAGTGCACTTAGGCTGGAGGAATCCCATGCACTGTTAAAGGCTAGGGACTGTCTAGCTAAGCAGCAGTTCTACAGAAAAAAGACCAAGTTAATTACAGCAGACAAGAAGCTGGATATGAGTCAACAATTTGCCCTTCTTGCCAACAAGGCTAACAGCATATTGGACTGCATTAGTAGGAGCATTGCTAGCACTGGACATTGTTGCCTCACTGTGTATTGCAATTCAATACTTACAGAAGAGATGAATGCCTCCTGTTCCTCTGTGCTGTTTGCAAATTGCCAGATATCTTCTTTAGTTTCTACACCAGGACTACTCAACTTCAGAAGCTCTGGGGGCCACAATGATACTCACAGCACATGGTGAGGGTTGCAACTTAAGTGTAGTTGCATATACAGTACATGCAAATATATATGCAAATAAAAGCAAATAGCTTCTTTCACACTGATGGGCATGAATACAAAGATTAAGCCTTAGACCGCGGCACCGGACCCAAACATGGCCAGTGTGAGCCAGTCAGCATCTCTCAGGCTCTGTGCACAAGGCTAAGTAGCACTTCCCACATGCCCCAGCACTCCCAGCACCTCCTCCTTGGGGGCTAGAAACGCTGACACTCTGTACCTGCCTGTTCCAGACAGCCCATCTGCTTGCACCTTTCCATGCTCACCCCGCTTGGAAGATGCCTCGCCGTTGTGGAGTGTGTTCCCAGTAGAGGTCATGTTCAAAGGATCCCACCCACGGGCCACGAGTTGAGCACCGCATAAACCCAACCAGACCGCAGGCCACAAATAAATGGGCCACGGGCCACATGCAGCCCAAAGCCCACATACTGAGTAGCCCTGTTCTACTCTCTTATGCTCTTTCCTCCCCAGTAGCATCTGTGGCAATAATTCCTGAGGATTTTGTTGTCCAATATGTCTTTGCCATCTCAGTTGGGTAACACAGCACTGATACAGGTGATTCCACATAATACATCAGCTATAGCAGAATGGTCACCAACTTAGAATTCCTGTACAAGCAATTTCTGTGGTCTTCCAGCATATCGCACATCTGAAGAAATGGGTTTTGCCTGCTCTGAGACCACAATAGGTCATTATCATTGTTAGCCATATCTGCTGCATGGTGTATCACTGTATCTAAACACAAAGAAATCACACTCCCTGTCCCTGAAAAATCACAAACTGATGATGATGCAGACTGAAAAACAACAGTCACAGAATCAGGATTCCCCCATCAGTACGTAGCAGATCTATGTAACTTTGTTCTCACACATAATTATTTCCAATTTGGGGACAACATATATCTCCAGATCAGCAGCACAGCCATGGGTACCCGCATGGCCCCACAGTATGCTAACATACTCAGTGGTTTGAGCATTGGCCTGCTAAACCCAGGGTTGTGAGTTCAATCCTTGAGGAGGCCATTTAGGGATTTGGGGCAAAAATTGTCAGGGATGGTACTTGGTCCTGCTGTGAAGGCAGGGGACTGGACTCAATGACCTTTCAAGGTCCCTTCCAGTTCTAGGAGATAGGCAATCTCCATTAATTTTATTTTATCTTTATGGATGACTTAGAACAACGTTTCCTCAGATCCTGTCCCCTTTTACCCCTCCTTTACTTACGCTACATCGATAACATCTTTATGATCTGGACCCATGACCAAGAAACACTGGACGCATTCCACAGAGACTTTAACAACCTATATCCCACCATCAATCTCAGCCTGAACTATTCAACACGAGAGATCCATTTCCTGGACACGACAGTACAAATCACTAATGGAAAATAAAATACCACTCTCTACAGAAAACCCACTGACTGTGACACTTACCTACATGCCTCCAGCTTCCATCCAGGACACACCATATGATCCTTCGTCTATAGTCAAGCCCTTAGGTACAACCGCATCTGTTCTAATCCCACTGACAGAGACCAGAAACTTCAAGATCTCTACCAAGCATTTGTAAATCTCAATTACCCACAGGGGGAAATAAAAAAACAAATTGAAAGAGCCAGACGAATACCCAGAAACCATCTACTTCAAGATAGGCCCAAGAAAACCAACAATAGAACACCACTTGTCATCACCTATAGCTCCCAACTTAAACCCCTCCAACACATTATCAATAACCTACAACCTATACTGGAACAAGATACTACACTCCGAGAGGCTCTGGGAGACAGACCCATAGTCTCCTATAGACAACCACCTAATCTCAGGAAGATTCTTACCAACAACCACAGGACATACCACGTTAATACCAACCCTGTTGCCAACTTTGTCCACATATTTACTCTGGTGACACCATCACTGGACTTAACCATATCAGTTGTATGATCAAGAACACATATTCCTGTTCATATAATTTATGCCGTCATGTGTCAACAGTGTCCTTCTGCTATGTATATTGGACAGACTTCTCAGACACTTCGCCAAAGAATTAATGCCCACAAATCAGACAACAGGCATCTTCACAAGGAAAAACCAGTTGCTTTTCATTTCAACCTATCTGGACGTAGTCTTAGAGACCTTACTACATGCATCTTACTTCAAAGAGACTTTAACACCAGATTACAGAGGGAAACTTGAGAACTTTCTTTCATGTTTAAATGTGACACTTTACGAATGGGCCTTAACAAAGATGCTAATTACCTTAAGGATTACAAATATAGCTCTCTCACTTATCACCCCTGATTAGCCATTCATTGACTCATGAATAGCTATTCCCGCCCTCGCACTTCCTCACCCCACCTTCTGTACTAAATCTGATTTGTCAATTTAATAATGTGTTCACTTTTTTCATTGTATTTCTTTGGTATACATATGGTCATGCCAATTCTATTCCATAATATGATCTGAGAAAGTGGGTCTGGCCCACGAAAGCTCATCACCTATTAAACCATCTTGTTAGTCTTTAAAGTGCTATATAGTTTTTCCTTTTCATTGTGGTTCAGATATTTTGCCATCGTCCACTCTACCTGATTTTCTAGATGCTGGTCCTGATTTTTTCACCAGTGAAGCTGGTTTGAAACCTTTCTGACCAGCAGCTTTTCCTGCTGCTTTCTTGGCACTCATTTCCCTGGAAAAGAATAGAGGGAAGCAGGTTTCTTATTAACTTTAAAGCACTAATAAGCTCAGCTTTGCATGAGCCAACAGACAGTAAGAAAAATTTTTTAAAAAAGCGACGAGGAGTCCTGTGGCACCTTATAGACTAACTGAAGTGTAGGAGCATAAGCTTTCGTGGGCAAAGACCCACTTTGTCAGATGCAAAAAAATTTTACTGCTGCAAACATGAGTGTATGAGGAGCCTCCATTAACCTCTTGTAACTACAGCCGCTCCCCAAGTTACGACAACCTCCACTTAAGAACATCTACCCTTACGACCAAAGCGGTCGTAAATGCGGATCTGAGTTACGAACGGTGATCCATGCTTACGAACAGAGCAGTCACCATGTAACTCTATGGGATCCGAGTTACAAACACTTGGTCCGTAACTCCTTCGTAACTGGGGAAGTGGTTGCATTTGAAACATACTCAGTTTCTTTTTTTTTCCTCCCCTCCTTTTTTCTCGTTTTTTCCTTCCCCCTTCCAGTTCCCTTATTTACTCTTGGCTCTGGACTTCTAAAACTCCTATCATCTGAAGAAGTGGGTTGTGCTCATGATATCATCTACACGTTTGTTAGTCTTCAAGGTGCTACTAGAAGATTGGTTGTTTTTCACGTTTTTCCTGTTGCAGACTAACTCTCTGAAGCTCGTGGCATGGACAGGACGGGGGCGGGGGCGGGGTTGGGGTG